AGCGGTCAAATATGCTTATCTTTATATGAGTAAAAACCTTGGGAATGTTYTCTTGATGTTGAGATCTTTCGAATGGCGGTTTGAAAAAGAGCGCCAATTTGATGACTGACCAGTTSAAAAATGGGTATGACGTCATTGCGTTATAAGTTCTTAGAAGTCTGGGAGCTGCTTTATCAAAACATATCACGGAGAGGAATGTTTTGTTCAACGAATTCTCAAGGAATCTCTCCCCCTCCCCCCATAAMAATGAAAAAGCATACTTCTCTAATRGTTAATAACGCAAAAAAATATGCAACTTGTCGTACAGCACTCTCTTGTTGTGAGTTTCAAAGCAATTGCTTTGTGTATAACCGCTACATGTACAACACACAGTTTTTCTAATAAGTAAGAGCACCCTTTTCTTCCCAACAGATTCATCGTTGCATCTTCAGTGGYAATGAAGGCAATAAGTGMTCTGTGATGGCACTTGCACCAAAAAAGTTGTTGCTCCTTTAGTCACATCTTATGTGTTTGAGAAGATACTGCATTATCGTCATGTCACCATAGAACATTTTGCATGACGGACATGTTATGACCTTGAAAAAAGCCTGGCCATGTTAAAGCATTCTTATTGGATAAAAAGTAGCCTCATGCACTATGATTGGTTTACAGGATGATGCCTTATTCTGTAAGCACTCCACAGCCATATAAAAATGTATACTCTTATACAGACTTAAAAATCACTAAAAAATATTCAACAAAACCATACCTTAGGTGTCTCCTCTTTCTTATCAYATWCAAATTTTACAATGTTTGCTATTATAGTGACAGCTCTGAGTGTGTTGTCTTCAGTAACTGGCTCRGCCAAGAAGTTCACAAAMGCATCAAGCCTCTGGAATAAAGATATCCAGTACGAGTATTAATACTCTACACAGATGTTATGCAACTGAGAGATTTTGGAAAGAAATGGGAGCAAATTTACCACAAATTTATGTTAATCTATTCAAGATTGACTCAGATTGGATTTTCTAAGAATAACTAAGCCTTGTAAACTGATATGTCATCCATTTTTCTAACCCTGCATTTCACTGTATGCAGGAAKTCATGATTGTTCAGTCAACCAATGGAATTTGAATWTGKKTTTTACAGAGGAAGGAATACCAGAGAACTGGAGAATCAGCAAGCAACTCTCACCACTCATGACAGGTCCAAGGATCAAACATGTGACCATACTGTATTACTGGGAGGAAGACAAGTGCAGCTGGATTAGGTTGCATACCATCCACAGTTTCATAATCAGTTAGCATCTCAATTTCCTTACACCTCTCAGGGGCTGCGGAGGGGGTGRGGCAGGGGGGCTATWGCCCTCCCACCTTTTCCYTTTTCCTATWCTAGTCTATTGTATTTTCCAATCCAATCAGTCTAACATCTGAATGTCAGATATGGATTTKTCTYCTTATTTTGAAGAAAAGCTGATCAGGAAGGWGGGTTTACAGGYGACCCAATGAACCCTGGACTTGCCSCAGGGTTGTTGTCWGAATGTTYCTAACATGCATTGCTTTTTTACTACACAAAACAGATTGAATTATCTACGATATTCTGCATACATATATAAGTATTGAAAGTACCTTTTCTTGGAGGAAAAAGTCAGCATTGTCAGCATTACATGAAAAATTGACTAGMACTCTCAATGCATTTGTCTATGGWGAAGAAAATGTTGATAWATGTATTAGAAGAAATAGCACTAYTGTAACATCAATAGAACGTTTCCACTTGGGTGTAGTAATGTTTTCCCATTTTAGATCACGCGTCATTCTCCTGAGAATATAATTATTTGTTTGGGTKGYATCCATAYTCATGTGTCTTMTCATTCATAACTGTCAAAYGAGAAAATGATACTCTTGGGAATGACACCTGGTCTGAAATGGGAAAACTTTAGACCCAAGCTAAAGAGGTCTATTGAAAGGCTGGGGGATTGTATAAAGGGCTGATTCTGTGCCCTTTTTATGTGATAAGACAAGAAGGGCTGAATTTATTCTGAAATTAWGTGCAGATGTTCCAATAGAAGGTGACTACCAGCAGTTGAGCAATGGGTATTTCATCTCTCGCCATCAGCTATTTCCTGTTCAGCAGAGTCAAAAAACAATTGTGTCAAGAGGACCTACTCCTTCGAACATGTAAATATCAGAGGGTGCACAATTGTCAGTTTACTTTTTTTTTTTTTGGCCAATATTGTCATTTAACTACTAACTCTCATATCATGCACAAAATCAAGGCTACCACTATATAAAGCAACAGAGAACATGAAACTAGAGTATTCTGTAGCAAAATGATGCTTTGTTATGCACCATTTTATGGTCATTTAAAATCTACTTTGACTTGAATGAAGTACTTACTTTGGCTTTGTCAGAAAGGGAATCTTGCTCAAGTATATGCAAACAGTATGAGATACCATCTATCAAGTCAGCATGACAAGTATCCACCACAGTTAGGTTTACCAACAGTTGTAAAATGGCAATCAGTTCATCGTCATTAGTGGATTCTACTTGCTCTGGACTTATTTTTGCTAAAATGTTTGGAATGCAATCCTTAAAAATGGAGATTAAGTTGTCATCTTGATTATAATATTATTAAGGTAAATTGATGGTTTTCAACCATTCCCAAGAGAATTAAATAACAAAAGACATGGTGGCCATGTTGGAGGATATAACAAAACAATGCACTGGCAATTCTTTTGTTAAGTTCCTCCAACATGGCTGCCGTGAAATCCATCAATTGCTTTAAAGAGTAAATAAATTAAAATGATGATGAGTAGAAAGATGCATAGATGAATGCATAGAAAGATGAATGGTTGGGTGAGTGAGTGAGTGGAAGGATGGATGGATGTATGGATAGAAAGATTGGGTTGAAGGAAGAAAGGATGGATGGATGAATGGATGGATGAATGAAAATGCCTATCTTACCTTGATAAGTTTTTGGTTTTCAAGATTCATGGACAAGTTTGAGAGTGTTTGGAGTACTCTTAGTCTTACATGATCTTTCTCATGATCCACTAACCGCATTATCTTATCGATGCCACCATTCTCGCGCACAAGGTTCTAGAACACAAATCAGTACAATAAATAAACCACAACTTGGGAACCCTGTGGTTTTGCACCTCAAAAAAAAAAACAACAACAAAAAAACAACACCTAAACATACCTGGTTTGATGTAAAAACACATGAGTTAGACAATGTAATAAGGATTTTTTCCAATAATATATCATCTGCTTTATCTAGCAAACCCAACAAATACACGATTTGGGAAGTGGAAAGTTCGCCCTGCAGATTCTCAAGTGGAGGATTTTGTGAACTACTTTCTTCTGTTCTCCTCTCATCGGCTCTCGATTCTCCTTCACGATGACGCGAATCCCCAAAACTTTCTTCACTTTCTGTTTCCTTTGGGTCAACCCTAGTGAATTTTTCGTGCAGATATCCAACGAGAGTTAAAAATCCTACGAAACTCAGCGCTGAAACAGCGACTACAGCAACACGACGAACAACGTTAGGCGCCATTGTATTGGGAAACCGCTGTACATGGAACACAGGTAGCCCAAACACTGTTATGAAAAACATGTGCACAAGTATGGCTTATATCTTGACCGAATAATATTTTATTTAAGAATCTGGTGGTATGAATGATAATCCTGCTCATGTTTTTATGAGTATGCGTCTGCATTAAGCAATTTACTGTCTTAGAACATCATTTATTATTCTCTATGAGGAGACGTTCAGTTTTTCTTTCGACGCCATCTTGGATTTCTACAAAGTATTTGATTTCAGTACTTAGATGGAGCCTGTGTTGGGATTCCTAGAAGAGGATGAGGTTGAAGAAGATTATGATGAATATAGCCTACCACGATCAGGACTAGAATACCTGAGAAGAGTACAGTGAGTATGATGGAATTGAGAATTCTTGAATGAATGAAAAAATGGGACAGTGATTCTATGGATGGTTGAACAGATAAAAGGGAAATCTAGGAAAGTAATGTAGGCATAATGGGTTGTAGGCATCCATGAGATGACAGGGAGGAGAAGATAGAAATCCCYTCCCCACTTTAGTCAATTAGTTCCCATTTGCTCGTTTACTCCCTCCCAAACCAACACTCTGCTCTGTGCAGTTTTACTAATAGTCCAGGGCCCGGTTGTACGAAGGGTGGATAGGGCTATCCTGCAGATAAATCCTTAACCAGTGAATAAATTGATGCTGTTATCCAATAAATTTATCCACTGGATAATATTTATCTGTTGGATAGCGCTATCCAGGCTTCGTACACCTGGGCCCAGGGATATTTAGTTATTGTTGGCATGACAATTGCACTATCAAGGCATAAGATCAAACCATGACCAGTGATATGGTCGTGCATGTAGTCTGTGCCATATTGGTTCAATGGTCTGCAGAATGTCATCATGATCACATTCCATGCCATAATGCTGCCACTCGATCCAGTGGTGGATCCAGGATTTTTAGAAAGAGAGTGACTATTACAAAGGTTTTACCAAGATTTCCAGAAAAAAGGGGGTCACGACTGTTACTTATAACGATATACTGAGAAATTTGAGTAAAACTGGGGTGTTCATATTATGTCATATTTTCTCCCTGGCCATTATYCAGATTAGAAGCAACAGAATGTCCTGAAGTTGTTGTAGCAGACATCAGCCATAAAAGTTTTAAGCAACAAACAGTCCAGATAAATCAGGTATCACCTTACTTCCAGTTCGTGCAGTCTTTACACTACCTATTTTAATTATATTTTATGGCTTAATTTAGGACTTCATATGGTTGCATGGTTCTTGATCATATATCCCTGGCTTCTTTTAACTAGTGGGCTAACTCCTCGGGGTAAAGAAGTGAGTTTACTGACCTGAGATGCTTAATGCACGAAAGAAGAAGAGGATGATATCAGACTCTCCCTTGTTTATATAAGGTCGTGATTTACATGTTACAATGCAACTTTGAAGAGTTAGTTGCAAGCATGCACGTTAGAGGATCACATAATGAGGTCATATTAATGCAGAACATATTATGAAGAGAATCTTTTCTTCCWCTCATTAAGGGGAAAATTACTTAATTATTGCTAAATTAGATATTCAACTCACAGTAATTGCATTTTGATCAGGTGCRGAGTCACATGGTTGCCCCAGAAGGTTGGGCACCTTCCTTGGAATGGCAACTACAACAAGCTGCAGACTTTGCTGATTTAAGACAGGTTGGAATGACATTTAAATGATATTCCATATCCTGATTCAAAACTTATCAACTGGGATATGTAAGCCTAGACATTTCATTTTTTATCATGGAGGTTGAAGGGGGGGGGGGGGGGGGGGGGGGGGGGTTGAGGGGAGATGGTGGTGGAATTTGCTTGGTAACCACCCCTCAAGCCTGATTTTTGTAAAGACCCTCCTCCTCCTCCTCCCCCAATCCCAATGGCTTCCTCTCTCAGGAAGGACTTTTCTTAATGACTAAAAAATTAAGGAGTGTTCAATGGCAGTGTTGGGCCAAAGCTGGCAGGCCAAATGCCCCTGGCCAAATCCTCTTGGGTCAGTCTTCTTGACCTGTCATTGACTGGTCGTATAATTTATATTGTTGATCGGTCTAATGTGGGTAGTCATCATGTCTTGCCAATTGAGTTGCTTTTTTGCACTGTGCATGCCATATCACTGAATATYGTAAATGATTTAATTTTCAACAGAGGATGGCTCACTATAAAGCTAAATATGGTAAAAATGCAGAAAATGGTGATGTGGTTCTTGTAAGTATTATTGATATACTATTTAAAGTGTTACTAACCTACTTATTTRTGATAGATGTGTYGATCATCACAGTGAATGAGCGATCTAAGCGAACGCTGTAAAGAAAGACTTGAAAAAATGATTTCAAGCTTCAACGGGAATGGAACCCATGACCTCCGCGATGCTGGTGCGATRCTCTACCAACTGAGCTATGAAGCCAATCCTGTTGGCGAGCGGTCATTTATGTTGGGTTCATCAAGCCACTATATGTAATAAGTATGAATATTGAATGGGTAGAACTGTGGTGAAATAATGATAGATGTGTTGATCATGTATATAAGAAGTGATGCATGGTCATTACACATGGGACCATACAACAACTTGTTAGTCTCTATATTTATCCCTTCCTTTCATTTTGCAGCCAAACAAAAAAGATGTAGCCCAGTGGCATTTTTTTTGTCTCRGAAAACAACTGAAACAAAAAAGGTAAACACAACTTTTTGGTTTAAGTTTTGCATACATGTACTAAATAATTCCAGCTCYGTTGAGTTAAAACATTTACTAACAGACAACTCTTGTTACAGTGGACACCCTCAGAACCATCACTTGGTGTCCATAATAGTGACATCCACAATAGCAAGAATTAAAATTTTAGGGTAATTCCTGCAGGAATTTTGCTCCTGTCTGCATGCAATAGAGAGGTGTCCGTCATATCAAGGAGGCTGCAAAGCGAGATTYGAGGTCAGCTTGACTTGATAAATTAAGCGTATTTTGTATTTCTTGCAGTTCAGCTGATGATTCTGAGGGTGAAACAAAGTCAGGACCAACATTATGCCCCAAACAAGTAAGTGTCCAGTCTCCTTTATTGAGATGTTCTTTGTGTCTGCAAAGSAGGCTAGTAAGTGAATTGATATCAAAGTATTTCTTACAAATCATAATCCAAACCTAAATTAGTCAGAAGTGCTGACTGATGGATCTGATTCTGATTGGTGCACAGCATTTGAAATGCTCAACAGCTAGCTTTCATACTGTCTTGCTATTGCATAAAGCTGAGGTTCATTTTGGCTGAGACAGAAGCTTTRATATCCATTTTTTCTGCTTTAATAAGATTGTTTATGATAAAATTACAGCTTTAAATTTTTTGTCAAGCTGGCCTTTTGAGCAAAAGAGTATAACCTCTAAATGAGTATCTAAATACTCGCTCCTTTGATATCTGGTATAAATTATAGGTTTTTACTCGTTTTTTGTTTCCTATTCTAGGAAGGAAATCTCCCATTGTTTAGTACTATAGTGAAAATGAACCAGGTAAGYTTCTTGGCTTATAGCTAATTTAAAGTTAGTAAACATTAGACTTGCCATAACTTGACCTCAATCAATCAAGACATTAGCATTCAAATGAAGTTCAGGTCACATTTAGAGGAATATTTCTCATTACAAAATGTTTTGAATTCTAATCTTTTGAAACATACTTCCTGGTGGTATTTGCATTTCAAGTCTTTACCTTTTTTAAAGGTCACAATTCTGCAAGTATTGGAGCATCATGTCAGTTGGTTAGAACAGGGAGAATATTCACACATGCAGGTACATGATTATTGGCGTAGACAAAATTGTTGCAGTTGTTGGAATGAATCTTACTGCAGTGTATGAGATCTAGAGGATCTGCTAGATCTGTATTTAAACGTTGCTCTATGTATCTGCCTTAATAATGCTCCTAATATATGGTTGCAAGCAATTRCAAAGTTCCACCATATATCAGGAGATATTACAGTATATAATATGAAAGGGAACCTTCCCCTCTCACTCCTATGATGTACTGTCATTTCAATCCAACTGTTAACGGAATGCATGTGCGAAAGACATGTTTTGATGCAACATCAAAAGTCAGAGTTTCACGTGTTAAAGCCATAAACATTTTTAATGTGTTCATGGGTAGATGCAATCRACAGTAGCAGTTATAATGTGCTACATAAATAGTGATGAATCGTGACCTCCAAATGGAATGTTTCTTCAAAAAGGGCATGAAYATGAAAATATTTTTGCACATAAACGCATCTATCTAATCCTGTTGCCTGAAACACAAGAGGACTTTCCCATCTGACCTCCATTTGTAAAATACCTAAGCTTGATCATTTAACATACTTTATCTTAATGATAGGGAYGCTGGTTGTACTCACTGTTAGCTTTCTTGGAAAAACCTTTGCTGCCAGAGTCTACTGCACTTCTGCGAACTCTTGCTCGGCACTGTGCAGCATGTCGTGTCAAACAGGTAGCATATGGCATAATATAATTTATTTCATTGTGGAAACTGGTAGCCCAGAGCTATCATTCATCAACACCATCATCGGTGCTATCATCATTATCACCATCACCATTGTTAACAGCATCATTGTCATCATCATTATCACCATCACCATTGTCAACATCATTACCATCATTATCATGATCATGATCACCACAAACTCCATCACCATGATGATTAACTCCATCACCATTATTGACATGATCATCATCATCATCATCATCATCATAATTACTATCACCATTATCATGATCATCACCATCACCATCACCACGGGTGATAATCATCGACCCGTTGAGCTGCCCACTGCTGTACTTTGCAATAAGTTTATCATCATTGCCATTATCATCACAATCATCATCATGTTCACCATGATCATCTTCATGATCATCACCATCTTCATTATCATCACCATTACCTCAATCAATGCAACAACATCATCATCTTGCATCGGAAATACCCCACATTGTACTGTTTTGAACTTTGATGTCTTTTTTAGATGGAAGCTAGCTCTCAAGAAAGTGGCATTGTGGAGTCTCTTAATCTGTTAATTGCTCTTGTAACCAGGTACTTTGTGAAACTTCTTATGACTGCATCACAAACCTTTTAAATGTCTTTTTTTATTCTTCCACCTGAACCGTTTTGATTGATTTAAAAGTTGAGTCTTGGGGGAAAGGTATATTAGACAAAATCTAACATGCCRAATCTCTGGGAGTTTGCCGTATCCTGAATTAGATCAGCCCAGTGGTTGTTTCGGGTTTAGGTAATAAAAAAATTTTTTTCAGGAACTACAGACCCTTGTAACTTAAGTTGTTTTTTTTTAAAGTTTTTTTATTTTTTTTATTTTCCAGATATTTTGGACAGACAGATCTGGCTGATACATAATGAGTACAGCTGTATCTCACAAGTCTGTTCGGATGTGATTAGCTTTGCTATTTCTCCCGGCAGGAAACAGATTGAAGATTGGTGGATGAAAAACTAGGAAAGAAATAGAAGAATAGCRAAACAGAATAGGATAACCACACTTATTAACTGGGACTTCAATGCTCTTCCTATATCCTAGATGTGCTTGCTCTCACCACCATCAGTTCCATCCAGTGACCRCCCATCACACATTAGTTTTCTTTTCTTCAATAAACTTTGCAGATGTATTTTTCCACCCAGCTCCGTTCTGGCTTTAAATCTGGCTTCCCACCCACCCCCTTCCTCCCAGAAGTCTGAAACTCATCCCTACAGAGAGCGAAGAAAAATAACTTCTGTTGCAGGTTATTGTTGATGTGATGAAAATCGCCCTTTGAACTGCTTACGTGTTAAACAAATCAATCGATACAAAGAAGAGGTTCACTAGATTTCTAGAATACGAATGCAGTTTATTAAGTCTTTACATATTTCCCTCTTCGACTGTCCCAAAATGACAAAACGAAAACGATACATCCGAAGATGTGCTGGACATTAAAAAATTTTCAGAACAAATTCTAAAATTTTATACACAATTTCGGCGGGCTGCCAAAGAGATACCATGGATGCTYATTATCATTTAATTTACGACAAGAACGGATTATCCTAGTTAGTCTTATCTCACGCTGTTAACGGTTACTTGCTTTAATTTTTTTCGCACTGTCTTGTTGCCGTGAACTTATCTTGGCTTCAGAACACAGGGAACCCGTTTGGGTATTATTTGATCGCAACTCTTGCGTCACTCCCAAAACTAAGCTGTTCTGTAATATATTATTAGTGTCATCAAAAGTTGTCTTCTCTTGAAATTTTCTCGAGAGAGGAACGATGATGCAGTGGTTATCAGGATTCATCTGTGTGAATGTGTCTGGTGTTAGAAGGTTATTAGGTCGATAAGACTTCCCTTTGGTTGTGCCATGTTTTCAGGGAAAAAGMCAACTAGCTGGTCAAACAGCTGTCAAATATAAAACATGTTATTATATCAGTATGATCATCATCATCCACCGCTATTATCTACAACATTTACATCGCTCAATACGAATCATGATCATGCGTCAACAATCATACCTCTATCATTATCATCGACAAATACAATGTTTTCCTTACGTTAACTTCGCTCCGACACAACATCATTGTTATACAGGACAATAATCATCATTGTTCAATGTCCATCACAATTATCATCATCATATCACCATCATCATACTTCACAATCTATCATCATCATAACACCATCATCATACTTCACAATCCAAGGACTGCGGACAAACGTAAAATGAGAATTGGAAAATATAAAAGACTACAGTATGGGAAAAGGTAAAGTGGTGGTGGGGGGTTATAGTCTGGAATCTATTATCATCATATCACCATTATCACATTAATCATCACATTATTCATACCATCATCAATATGTATCATTATCGTAAACTGTTGTGAATATCAATGTTACCTGTGTTCTCCCCAGATAGGTGTCATCAGGAGGAGTTAACACTTCATCTGCAGCAAAAAATACAACGTATTGTTTTACATTGAGCAACTGTTATGTTGACCAATGAGAGCACACTTTGGCTCAAAGTATGAAAAAAACAATACTCTTGCTTTAGTTCTCCTATAACATTTTACTGGATTTCATGTCAATCGAGAAGATAATCTATTTATCGAACAACGTTTTTGAACGATAAATTTTGCCATGAAACACAGTACTAACAATCATCGTAAGAAATTAGAACTTGTTACTTTAAAACTAATTTTCGATAAGTTAACAGAGTTTATGAATATCTAGGAGAAAAAATCTATTTATCTGAAGTAAGTTCTCCAACATTTTACTGGATTGAACGTCAATCAAAGAGATAATTTATTCATATTGTAAAAAGTTTGAACGAGTCAATGCGCTTCAAGCAAAGAGCTTCAAAAAGTGCGCTTTTTCGCCAAGAAACGCACTACAATGATCGGAACTTAAAACCAATTTCCAATAGGTTAGCAGAGTTTATTATGAATATCTATGAGAAAAAAATCTATTTATCTGAAGTAAGTTCTCGAACATTTTACTGGATTGAACGTCAATCAAAGAGATAATTTATTCATCTCGCATTCGCATTCATCTCTCATGAATGAGTTTATGAGCATCAAGCATAGAACTTCAAAAAGTGCGCTTTTTCGCCAAGAAACACACTACAACCAACGTAAGAAATTAGAACAGATTACTTTAAAACCAATTTCCGATAAGTCAGAAGAGTTTATTATGAATATCTAAGAGAAAAAAATCTTTTTATCTGAAGTTAGTTCTCCAACATTTTACTGGATTTACAAAAGAGTTTCGATAAATTCAAGGCGCGATTGTGTGAGGTGACGCCGTCGAAGTGTTTGTGTTAGATAAGCAGTGATCTCATACATACAATGTCATCAAGTCCTTTACGGTAACCCCCCCGGTGGGGTACGGTACCATGTGCGTGCCGTTTTACAGTATGATATCATCTTTCGGGTCTTACCGTTTTCACACTGCATAGGTTCCTCAATGGTCTTTGGAGTCGTGAATAAAAATCGAGTAAGGAGCTGGAACTAAAAATTAAAATAAAGAAAAGTTTTAAAAGGTGTGCCCATATTGAAAGTACATTCGAATGTTTGAGCTATAGGAACAGGGACGGCGGAAATTGCAATAATTTGAATAAATCCATTTTACTGTATCACATGGGAATATTGCGCTCATTTCGTCACATGGATCTGCCTTTGCAGACCTAACATAGAATGCAGAACTGTCCAGTTTTGCCAAGAGTAAGACTTAGCATGTCCAACTAGATTCTAATGCGCAAAGAATCTTACCTCTCTACTCTCCTCTGGGTCATCGTGAGCTACCGTTTGTGATAACTCATTCTGTAATCATGACAACAACAAAAAAGAAATGTGTTTTAAGATCRTATCAAGAATAAGAATAAAATCATTAAAACAAAACATATTTCTAATCAAAAATGCAAGGTACGAAAAAAAATTGCGTTAGGTTTACCTGTAAATATYGTAAAGCTGAAATAGAGTCAACGATTGCTAATTCGAAGAATCTAAAAAAAAGATAATCACGTWTTTTAAAGTTCATATTCCTCGCTACCATGACTATGAGAGGTTTATTCGTTTTAATGCATTTAAAAAAGTGTTATGATGAAAATGAGCGCGCACCGTTCCTTTTTTCGTAAAACGGTCCGAAATGGCAAATATTTCTCTTCAGCTTAGCTATGAATTCGGTTCTCAATTTTAGGTAAACTTACTTTTGCTTTCTAATTAAGTAATGGCATTTTCTTAGCAGTTGTTCTTTGCTTGGACGAGAAAGCTGTGGAGAAAAAAGACGTCCTATTATGAGACGACATTCGATATTGAGTAATTTTTTGTTATTAAGTCTATTTCTCATTATTATGAAAGTGGACAATGCGCAATGACATTTYAATTAAAAACTAATAGTTCCCTTCACAGCTTCCCACGTCACACTGAAAGATAATCGTGCCTGTGCATTGAAACGATAACGGCGGTGRCCTTGTAATGATAAAGAACTTTTAGAAACTTGGACAATTATACCCTGTTCTATCATTGCAAGGTCACTGCCTCTTCGATGCACAGGCGCGGTTTCCTTTCAAGATGGTAGAGGACTCTGATGAGGTTTAGTWGGAGTGTCGTAGTGGAACCGCCTCTAGGATCTTGGCTTCCATTCCTGAACACGGCGTTGCATCCGAGCACAGGTTTTTGGGTCTCCCTTGATACAAGGGTCATTGTCCGAGTTCTCTGGTTTTCCCCCGTCTGCAAAATGTGGCACTCTGAATTTCAATTTCTTCTGAAAGGTTAACCGTGCACTAATTCAAACCAGCCCAAGATGTTTTCAGGGTTCGATAATGTCGACGTTTGATTTAAGTTGCCCAGACCCTAGTTTCGCTGCGCACTTGGGCAACATATCAAAAGTGTACCTTTAGGGACCAAAAGTCATCGAGTCTCATTTTCGGTAGACTAGCCTTGCCAGGATTCCCACCAAACAAATAATGTACTTTATGGACATCATCATAGACTAACTGGTGAGCAAAACGAGGGCAGGGTTCGACGCTTTGCATCTTGGTCCAGTATTGTGGACCCATGTTTTCATTCTTGTATACGCATGACCTGTGTGTGTCAGAAATGGAAAAGAGATCAATTCTTTTTCTGGCACATAACAGTATAGACAAGTATGTTTGCATTGATCATAGCTTTGCGTCATATGCTGCATTAATCATTAATGAATAGGCTGGCCATCTACGGTATGGGACCTGTATGTCTGTGTGTCTGTATGTCGGCATGTCCGTCTGTTGACATGTATGTGTGTCTGTCTGTCTATAAGACAACCATGCAAACTCCTTGATTTCTCAGTTTTTACTCCACAATCCTTTCCCTTTCCATTATCCCACCTCCAGTGAGTACTCCAGTGGATAGTCATCTTGGGTTAAAAATTCAAACAAAAAATATTAACAAAATCCTGTGCATCCGTCGTCATATTTACCATTTATTGCTTTCAAGATCATACACCCAGAAAGAGTTCCTCACTATTTCTTCTCGTTTTTCTTTATCTTTGCTCAATCCCTGTGAGGAAAATGTAGATGGAGATAGGTCAGAGTAGTGAGGAACCGCAACATGCACAATAAAAAATACATTACGCTCCAATAGCTAGTTCTTATAACACCCAAATGGTTTTGCAAAACATCTAAAGGTCTTCCTGCAATACCAAATGGCTTTCCAAATCCATCCAACTTACTTTCTAAAACACACAAATGGTTTTTCGAAACCAGAAAATGGCTTTCTGCGACACTCAACTCGAAATGTTGCGCGCAATGTTGCACCGTGTATCCGTGCCTTAACTTACCGATAATACATGGATTTCATTCAATGCTGGGTCTATTGTGGCTCGTTGGGTAAAACCAGCTGCTGGAACTGAATAATTGCAAGTTTAAATTAATATACGCTTTTACTGCACGAAAAAATTCAAAATGTAAATAAGAATCGATTTTGTGAGTCAACGAAAAGGTGAAACACTCAATGACAACGCTTGAGTTTGGAGTCTACTTCATAGGCACATACTTTACGTTTCTCTTGGAGTTCACTAYGAATTATGCATTCCGGGCATTTGGTAATTTCATTTAAAAAGTGTTTTGCATCTTGCAGCCAATCTTCAGACTGACKGCCTGCCTGTTTACCTGACTGACCGACCGACCAACCTACTGACTAAATGAATGACTTGGGCAGCTAAGAGAAAGTATTTACCTTGATCAGCATCCTTTTTGAGACCATCGAAMATAACATTCACTTCATAGGTGTCGACGTTGAATTGAAGAAAATCACTAAAAATACAATTAAAAAAACAGTAGCTAGTTTGTAACACTGTRTGTTACTTATTGCTGTTAATAACATTCTGTTTATCAGATAGCTTTAGCAACACACAGAAAAGACAATATCTAGTTGAAGTTACCTAAGAAACTCTTTCCCTCTTTGTCCAGCAAAGATGTACAACAGTCTCTTTCCCTTGAAGAAAAATGATGAAATAATTAATAGTCAATAAAGATACCTTAAGAATTAAAAGCAGGACAAGGTTTAATATACTCACCGGATGGAAGAGCATGGAATGTCCGATTCTTGATCGTAATTCTGGGCAATCTTCTCTGATTTTAAGAAAATTTTTTGACAGTAAATAAAATATAATATTTGCCTGATGCCTATGAATGATGATTCAGAATTTAGAATGACATAGTTTCATACGCAAACAATTGATTGGCCATAGCATAATAACAAAGGAAAACAAGCCTAATGTTAGGGATGAATGATAAAAAAGACTCATGTAGACATGACTCTTTACTATCACTATGAGGGTGTGAACACAACATGCAGCATTGCCAGCAACGTTGGATGAAAAAGGCTGTTTTTTGGTGCCTTGCATGCAAAGTAGCATGCAAGGTTGCACGCACAATTGTATGTACAGGACCAAGTAGTAACCCCTTCTACTTCTGCAACGTTGCATTCAACATTGCACTGTGTGTCTGCACCTTAGGATATCTAGTATTCTTTGAATCTCAATTGAGTGTTTTTGTTTTGCTTGCATTCGATATTTACTTTAGTTTCTTCCAAGTACTTGTCTGACAGTCATAAGAATACAGACCACTGAAGCTTGTCTCTGGTGTTCTTCCTTCACTAGACGAACTAAAAAAGAACTACATTTTTAATAAAGAATTATTGGATGAGGTTGAGCAGGATATTGTAAATTATCGAAACCAAGGCTGTCATTGACTGAAGTTGTAGACTGAAGGTCCTAATACATATYGGAAACTCTTAGCTGAAACTTGTGTGCAACAGCATTGCAAGACAAGTTTTACTGGGGTTTTACGTGGTGAAATTTGGGTTGCCAAGTAGAACGTGCTAATGTGTAACGTGCCCACTGTGTACTCTCATAAAAAATGCCCTCCCAACCAATCAGAAAGCAAGATTTATAAGTTACAGTTATTTTACATTCCCTACTATTAGGCAGGATAAACTATGACCGTGTACCTGGTTAAGACACGGCCACCAAACACCAATATACTGCTTTTTTCTTCATCCATACATATCTGGAAAATGAATACAATTTAAAGTACATACAATAGCTGGATTTATATGATTTATATGGCAATTTAATTTCACATGCTGTGATTGGTCAATTTGTAGATGAGATGGATTATTTACCTGATGGTCAAATATCAGGGATGGACCTCCAACAGCACCAGTATCATCACTTATTAATGTCCATTGATTGGCTGTGATGTCGTACACATAAAAATCACTCTGCAACAAAGGAGTAGATAAAATTTAAACAGCAATAAATAATATATTAGGTTGGTAAAGGGTTGTTTTGTGAAACTTGATTTTTTTCATTATTTCAGGAAAAATGATGAAATTTTTCATTTTTATTATTTTGGATCTTCTGTGAAACAGAATTCATAACCTCTCTTTACCACCCTGAGATATTCCCCTCTGGTATCATTAACCTTCCCCGTCCCCGTCCCCGTCCCCGTCCCCGTCCCC